CCCCCCCTCCTCTTGAGAATCCCCCCCCAAAAAAAACCCCCCCTTTTAACCCCAAGGGGTCTTTTTTTTTTTTCCCGCGGCGGCGGGGGGGGGGGGCCCCTTTGGTTCCACCCCCAAAATTTTGGTCATTTTTCCCCCGGGGGGGGGGGGGGGGGGGGGGGCCCTTTTTTCTTTTTTCTTTTTTTTTTTGGCCCCGCCCCCCCGGGGGGGGGGGGGGGGGGGGCTCTTATGTTTTGCATGCCTTACACCATCCTTACACCACTCACCACGCGTCCTCGCGAGGGCGGAGCATTGTTCCCACAGGACCGATCACCGATGGCCAACAATTCCCGCAACTCGTTTGGTGTTGCCCACAACCGTTGGTTGGCCATCGACCACAAGCATCACCCAGTTCGAGACGCATGATCACCGATTCTTCCCTGCTAATATACCAGAGACATACCGCCCAACAAGAATATAGACAATCTGTTGCACAATTTAAACAGTTCATGTCTTGCTCCACACATGTCTTGCTTCATCCGGGTGCACGTTGTTATTTCAGCCCACACACCACAAATCCGTGAGGTCGGATGGGTGGGCCGTACCTTCCAAGTACAATCCCAAGTCCCCCTTGTTCCTACCTGGCGTATACACTAACTCAGCACTACTACTACTACTACTACTACTACTACTACTAGCCTTTACCTTGCAGAAAAGCGGGATGGCCTTCATGTTGGTGTACTTGTGGAGGAAAGACGGAGTGCAGACCAGGATGCTCGGGGCCGGCTTGTTGGGTGAGAAAGGGTACTCGTAGGACGACCCGTACTTCGCCGCGGCTAGCTCAAAACGAAAAGCGAAAACGTGAAAAGGGGGCACGCATATGGGTTAGGGCCAAGGGGGGCTTGGAGGCACAGCAACGGCCTGTCGGAAGACAACAGAGGCAGTTGTTCGAAGAGGCCCTTGCATACCGCGGACACCCCGCAGCAACGCCTATGCGCTAGGATACAGGGGCGTGCGGCTTCCTGGCGAGCTTGTCGTCGGGCGAGAGACGGGGGTGCTTGCACGAATGAAAAAAACGCCTACTGACTCCCCACGGCTAATGCAACACAACGCCGTTGCTGTAGAGGAGGAGGCGGAGGCGGAGGAGGAGGCGCTAGAGAGGAGGGTATTTTTTCCCGTAAGGAATAGACCACCGGCCTCTCCAAAACGAAAACAAACTCTCGTTAGTTGTCACGGCTTCACAACCCCTGTATCGCTTCCATGTTTCCGGCGTGTCGTTGTTCCGCTGAGCTTACCCGTCACGCCCGTGATTCCGTCGGCATTGAGAGCTTTGAGAATCCCCTTCAGCACAGAATGCACCTGCCCCAGAGACAGCGATGAGCCGGCCGGGGAAATATCGGGGTATATTGAGGTGCGAGGGAGAGAGGGGACGAGTAGAGAAGCAGTTGGGGTGGGCATGGTTAGTCGGGGATCCATATTTTTCCGGAACTCGCGTAGATGGGGAACGCTCAAAAAAAGGTCAAGTCTTGCTTTCTTGCGTGCGGCGTCAAGTCGAGAGCATTGTCCATAACACGGCGATCGATTGTGATCCTCCATTTTCTTTCTCTAATGGTGCCAACCCTCAGCCTGACCTCCTCTTCGAGCCGCTCACTTCCTTAGGAATTCTAGTATTGAAGGAGAGGGTGTGTGCAGGCCAAAACGTCTGGTGTGTGACAAAAAACAACGCATACAACCAAACATGGTTGGGGAAGAGGAGGCAAAGGAGCTCGGGGATGCGCCAACGCATACAACGCAGGTAGAGGTACGACATGGTACTGGTACGCGCACGGGGCGACATTAAACACCGCTGTTCCTCCCCCCGCCTTAGCACTCTGACCTGATCACAGAGTTCCTTGTTGGGCACGAGCACGACCACGTCCGGGAACATCGGCCATCCGCGGGCATTTCCTGCGACGACACAGACGAAAATAACCCCCCCACAAAAGAGCAAGCGGCGATGGTAAGGACAACACTAGAGCGCCACGCAAGCGGGGGTGAAACAACGACCTTGACCACTGCCAACGTAACCAACCAAGCGAGCGCCAGCACCACCAACGGAGAAAAATCACAGAAAATCGCGGCAGCAACAACAACAACGTCCACAGCGGCACCACCTTCACCCGCCCTCGGAGGCACACCCCTCACCGCGACCCCCGCTCGCACCAACAAAAACGTCACCCCACCTAGGAACTTTCAAGCCGTGGAATATCTGATTTGGCACGGCACACGCAAAGATGATGACCAGCTTCTGGTTCATCCTCGTGAAGCGAAGCCCGGGAACCCGGCGCACATCGCTCGGCCGTAGGCGTGCGAGGTCGATGCTCTAACGACTACGGCATGCGTTTACATGAGAGAGTACACCCCCCTCACACACACACACGCCTAGGAGGGATGCGAGGCCAATGGTCTAACGACTACGGCAATGGGGCGGCTACGTATTCGCCCTACCTAGGAGCTCGTCGGGGAGATCCTTGGCGACGGCCTGTCCCCTGAGCACCCTCTCCACGATGGGCAGCAGGTAGGCCAGGGTCTTGCCGGAACCGGTCTCCGCGCCGACGATCATGTCTTCGCCGCTGAGGATGCCGGGCACAGCGGCGGCCTGCGCGATGACCAAAACGTTGTCAGCTGCTGGTTGCCTTGAAGGGAATTGTCGGCTTGGAATGGGGGATAAACAAAAAAAAAAATGTTACCTACATACGCATGCCCTATCAGAAATCTCCGCTTGGGTTGGAAGCTAATCAACATCTTGGCTGCCCGGGTTCTGCCGTAATTGACCCCTTCTTGTTGCTGATTGGGGGATATTGGGGAGCGTGCACGTTAGCTCCTACCCTACTGGACCCCGTTTCTGTTGCTGGTCGCGGAGCGGACCGCGCACGTCACGTTGTAACCACCGCCGACAACACCGTGCGCCGCGGTGGTCTGTATGCTAGAAAACACTTCAAGGTTCATCCGACGTAACTGGTACACTTCAAGGTTCATCCGACGTAACTGGTACTCCTGTATCTGGTGGATATATTCCAGAATACAACACAAGTTGACCCCTTTGGCGGAAGGGATATGAATCGGCAGCGCCGCACGGTGGCTGCAGTAGTCTCAAAACGCCGTGGGATGCTCGTATCGCGCTCTTCTTTCTTTCAGTTTAGAAGCAAAGCTTGTCGACGTTGTGCGAAAAAGACTACATGTCGTGAAATGACCTCCCTCATCGCTGGTCGCACGATACGTCGCTGCTTCTGCTGCTGCTGCTGCTGCTGCACGACATATTGAACAACGTACAGGGTAGAAAAGGCACATCCGCTAGCAACAAGAGCGATGGTTGAACATGAACTGAAACCACGTGCGAGCTTTTCACAAAACAGTCTGAGCGGCAGAGCAGCAATAGCGTATTTGCAGTAGGCTTTCTGCCCGCTGGCCCGCGCACCTGGACGGCGGTGGAGCCGCCTATGCCCAGCGCCTCCAGGTGGCCGCATAGGGCGGGGCTCAGTCCCAGGTCCGAGAAGGGCACCCTGTCCCCGAAGAAGATCGCCTCGGCCTCGGGATCGACCTCCTGACCGGCCATCCACTCGGTCTCATCGTCCTCCTCCTGCAGGAAGCCGGCCTCCCCGGCGTCGGCGGCATCGCCGTCCCAAGCGGCGATCGGCGGCGCGCTGGTGCCACCGGTGCCGCGTTCGCGAAACAAGGTCGAGGACGGCGGTTCTTCGAACCCTACTACTTCCTCGTCCTCCGTCCAGAAGCCCTTCCCTTCCCCTCCTGGACCGCCTGCTGCCGTTGACGACAGCCGCAGGCTACCGCCGCCGCCTCCGCCCCGCCGCTGCTGCCCTCTGCCCGAGCTACTGCTAGTACCTCCAAGAGGAGCACCGCTGGCGCCGGCTGCGGGACGCCGGGATCGATCGTGCCCTTGCTGAACGGCAGAGAGATGTTGTTGATGTTGCGCACGCCGCCGCTGCTGCTTCGGTACGGTCGGACCCCAGCTGTGGACGAACGCCAGCGCTGTCTTAGACTCTGTTGATGACGCCACGCCACCGCGGGCACGGAAGAACGACCTCGCCGCCGTCATCGGACCGGTGGGAGTAGTGGAGGCGGCGGCTAGGGCCCGGGAGCCGCTGCGGCCGCCGCCGAGCACCGCGGCGGCGGAGCCGAGCACAATCCTGAGGACCATGATCGTGCTAGGTGCTGCTGCTGCTGTTGTGGTCGCTGTTGCTCTCGCGACGCCTTGAGGTCGTGGGCGCCGCCGCCTTGCCCTGGCTGCTGCTGTTGACCGCGTGAGCATGGAACTGGACCCCCTTTCTACGCACGGTCTTGGTCGAGGCAGCGGCTAGGTTCGCTGGGTGTCTCAAACACGCGGCCACTGCTGTGTCTCTGGTTGCATGCCTCTCGGTGGTCCGAGAGGAGACCAGAGGCAGAAGCAACAAAAAAAAAATGTGGACGAGACGCGCGGTTATTGGCCAATTTTGCACAGTGCCGATCGGCGCCGCTTGGGGCACATGGCACATGCTTCTGTGTCATACCGACTTACCTACTCTACACTTTCACGACGCACGCGCGTACGCGCTGTTCCGTGCGTCGAGCATGATGGCAGTGGGATCTCGAGATGGTCCATCGAGGGTCGTCTTGGCGGTGGCGACGTCTCTACTCCTTCTCTCGTCAGGTGATGTTCCGGCGTCGAGGAAAAAAGGAAAATGTGAAAGTTGTGGGTGTGTGCCTTGTCATGAAGGGGAACACGCGAACACGTACGTGTTTTGTAGTCACCGCTGCTGTGTTGCTACTTGCTGTTCTCTATGGGTCCACGCCGAAGCCAGGAAGCGTGCTCTGGTTGTTGGTTGGCTGCACTGAGGCTGGTCGACTCCTTTTGTCTCTCTTTGAAGGTTCCACGACGCTAGTGTTGGACGTCGCGCGCTACTTTGTGCGCTGTGTCACCTGCGCTACTTTGTACTGCTGTAACTTTCAGGCGTTGTGTATTAATAGTCCACATGGAGTACCAATCCTCTATGAGGATGTCTGGTACAGCAGTACTGTCTCGGTGGCATACGGCAAATCAACGGAGTGCACACTGCAACCACAATAGAATCATTCGAAAGTTCAACATAACGATGACCCTCTCTGTGTACTGTGTACTACAAACCAGCTTTTCTCCGCCTTTTTTTTCTTTTTTACTTGGACTTTACGACCCCCTCGACATCACACTCTACACTCCCAGCAGGTCCACCGCTCTATCTTTTGGCGTGTAAGCGCATCTCTGTCTCTCTTGTTGTTCAGTTGAAAATAGGTTCGCTGTTTTTACGGTAGAGTGAGCTTGTTGATTCTTTTTTTGGTTCGTCTCCCGTATGGGGCACAAGCATGGAAATGCTCTACTTGTATTGTAAATAGCATTGCTTGACGTCAGGGTCACGGAGCCCGGCATCTGTACATGGCTTTTGGTTCCCATGGGGCAAAAGTATGACGTATATCTTACGGCGAGATCTAATCTGGTACGAAATGGTGCACTCACCGGAGAAAACAAAAACCCCTCAACCAGTCGTACGTTAGTATTCTACGTGAAAAGCAGACCCAAGAGCGCCCCATCTTTCCCGCTTATCTTACTTCGATCGATCGCGTTGCCTCCCGTCGTCCCTCTCGATCCATCTATACCAAAGCATCACCGTTTCTCTCGGCCGTGGCGCACATCTTATTCCCCCCCCCCCCCCAACC